CCATCCGGCCCGCTCACGGCGGGCGGTAACCGTTTCGCTCGAGTCACTTTGCAGAACATCTCAAGCTTCGTTGCAGTTTTTCACAAATACATCTCATTTTGCCAGCCGGGGCAGAATTTTTGAGCAAAGAATTCGGTCATGACCTTTTGGCGATAAATAATATTCATTCTTTCTTCTCTCTCGCTTTTAAAGCACTTTGGCTTTTCTGCAAAAATTGATTTGAAAATGAATTTGGTGGTACTAAACTTGTTTTTAAAACGATTGAAACTCGGCCTAAAAATTTTTTTACTCAATAATCCTTCACAAAAAGTAACTCAAAAGTTACAACGAGAGGTGGTTGCAGTTAACAATTACGTTAATCAATGTGACTCTCATTCGTTAATATCTGAATTCTTCAACACAATTTGTTCGTTTGTGAAACTTTGAGCGAAGTTTTGAATCCTTCTCAGTGTAAATACACTTTTTCCTATTTGCAAATCCCTTGAGTTTGGACATTTCTACCGTAAATTTCCCATCAGAAACCGGAAGAATTGGATGAATAAAGGTCGCATTAAATCTCCTTGTGTCTAGCTGGAAAGAGTCTCATTGACTTCAGCTTTTTAGTCCAAGAAAGACAGATTTACACACACCATTTCAGAAAACGAACAAGCAGACTAACAACTCAAAACACACATTCGCATTCACTTAAAATTTGACTTTCCGTGACATTTTAAAACGGAACAGTGGTAAATCTTTGAAGATTAATCGTCGTTGGAAATAAATAATACTTTCCGTAAGATCTCTGATTCATTGTAGAAAGTTAACAGACATTTCTGATATTTTTTTCACTCTGCTAGCGTAATGAAAATCAGGATAAGTCAAAGGCCAGATTCCCGGAAAACAGGAAATCCGGAAAGGCCGAAACCAAACACTGAGTTGATCTACGATTTGATCACCTTGAGTCAATGCAGTTCAGTCGCCTCTTAATTGTGTTCGGTAAAGTTTATCGAACATAAATGTATTCCAAAACTCGACCTAAGAGATAGCTGTGCTGGCAAGAAACGGGATTTCCTTTCCTTCTTTTCGCTTGTTATAAACCAAGATCGAATACTCTGTGCGGTAGTGAGGTATTGCTTCCTGTCTGTTTATATGTTGTTTTCCTTCGGCGGTCGCTGTCGCCGAGTTCTTTCTCGTGAAAGCGATTAAAAGAAAGCGAGCAGGCCAAGCCGAAGATTCAGACGAAATAGAAATTATAAACCACAATCCTCAGGCTAGTAAAAAAAAAGAAAAAATCGGCTGGTCCTAATCGCCGGTGACAGTTTGAGGAATTTTTGAGAATTTATTAAACAACATTTTTGAGAATTTATCAAACTTCTCATGGAGAGCACTGTTCATGTAAACTTATTTCCTTTCCAACGCAAAACCAAAAATTTCGACCCAAATGTAGCTGAACTTGTTGATACGGTGTAGGAGAGTATGAAATAATTATAATAAGCAATTCATTTTATTTTTCGATCTCTGTTCCTTTTGAAAAAATAACAAAAATGAAGGAAGCTACAACTACCAAGGGGAATTCGAAATGTCTACTTGTCTCGCATGCACGAGTTCAGAGTAATGGCTTGATCACCATAACAGACTGTACCACAGTATTTCTCAGTTTTGATGTCCTTTGCAAGAACGATTCATTTCTCAATCGGCATGCTAGTGTAAGCTTTTTGCCATTTCTCTGCTAAAATTATGATTGATTCGCGGTAGTCACTCTTGATTCAGGCTGTGAGGTCTGAAGAAGCAGAAGTCACGCCATAGATGTTTCAACATTTGATATTTTGGAGGCACAAGTCGGTTAAGATTTCGACGACTTAGGCCTTTGCGATCAAATATTCCGATCAACAACATGGGGTAACTAAACGATCAAACAATTGCTCATCATAAGTTTTCGACTGCTTGAAATTATCTTATTACGCCAGTGTGAACGGAACTTTCAACCAAGTCAAAAACAAACTTACACTAACGTGACTGCATACATTTCTACTATGCCTCCATGTTGTACTGTCGATACGAAGCGTTAACGAACGACTTGCACTTAACATATGTCCAACACTACATACTTCAGTTTAACTACGAATGATAAAACAGGTTATATGAGATTAAACAATGCAAATTACGCTTACCTTTACTTGATACTGCACAAGCTTTGATAAATCTGTAACACTAAGTTTCGTTAACTCATATCAAGGAATCCGGCCATATCTTTGCGTTCGACTTGAGATTAACTTGAAACGAAAGTGCGTAATTCAAAGAAGAAGGTAACTTGATTTCAGTTTCAATCGAAAAATCTCTCTAAAACATCACTAGTTTAAGTTAATGTTTGGGTTTATTTCTGAAAACGTTTCCTAGTAAACGGCTTAGTGTCTCCGAGCTGGTCGGCGGATTTGCCACGTTCTAGACTATTACGTCATTTTTCTCAACCAATCAGCGGTTTTTTCGCTGTGTCACTGTAAAAGAAGTAATGTATGAAAGAAAATAAAATTCACTCGTACGTTGACAGACAGCTTTACAACCTTAAAAGATCTTTCCATCAATTAATTGTTATTTGAGGTTCTCAACAGGGTAATGGCTTTTACAAGTGACGATTAAAATATCGGCAATTCTACGGCTAAAAGTTAATTTCTTTCCGTTGCTATTAAAATAGAAAAAATTACAGTTAACCTTTTTATATAACCAACGGTTAAGATTTGTTAATTTTTACGCCTAAAGGCCAAATTTTTGGCCGTTTTACGACCAACGGATAACCTCATTGAAACCCTCTTAGTTTTCAGGTTCTAGAGAGGTTTCTGTCAGTGCGAAAAAGTGTTCAGGCGGAAGGGAAATCAAGTGTCATTTTTTTTTCCACTCTTCCTTCAGCGCCTGTTTTTTTCACGACTGATCATGACTGATCAATATAACATGGCCAATGAGGGGGAAGATAAGTTAGAATATTTCAACGCCGCATGGGGGCATCAGATAATTTTTATTGCCGGTGGCAAAACCAAAATTCCTATGAAACTCAACCAAGTTCTTAAAGATCATTTTTATAGCCGCACGATGATTTAGGATTAATAGAGGTTTTGCACTATGGTTAGCCAAATGTTGCAAAATTCAACAACTTGCATATTTTTATTCAACAACTAATATTTATGCTCAACAAAATATATCTTTATTCAACAGTTTACAGTTATATTCAACATTTTATAGTTATGTTCAACGACACGCATTTTCTTTTCATATTCAACCAAAATTATTTTCATTCAACAACGATATTTATTCAACTTCAATAGCTATATTTATTTTACTCAACAAAATTAATTGTTCAACTTCAGTCCAAACTTTGGATTGAAGTTGAACAATTAATTTTGTTGAGTAAAATAAATATAGCTATTGAAGTTGAATAAATATTGTTGTTGAATGAAAATAATTTTGGTTGAATATGAAAAGAAAATGCGTGTCGTTGAACATAACTATAAAATGTTGAATATAACTGTAAACTGTTGAATAAAGATATATTTTGTTGAGCATAAATATTAGTTGTTGAATAAAAATATGCAAGTTGTTGAATTTTGCAACATTTGGCTAACCATAGTGTTTCAGTTTAACTTCTAAATGGCACTATCAAGATTTGGTCACACTACTGACGAAAATAAAACCGTATCGATCACAACACTGAGATATATACAAATTAATCGAATGAAGCATTACACTGCTGTAAAAGGTAAAATGTTTCACAAATCCGAGCTTTCGCCGATCAACGGCATCATCAGGGATGATCAACACTGAGAGCTTAACACTAAACATTTACTTTCAGTCACATTACTGCTTGCACTCTTTATCTTTATGGAGTTCCTTGTATACGTAAATTAGTCTATCAGCCTCTTCCCTCAAACATTCAGAAGACGCGCGAAATTCCTCCGCTAATTCACTGGGATTCGCGATTTTCTTTGCCCCTAAATATATATCAAGGATGCCAGTCAGCACTCCAAAAACAGCCAAAGATCCGGAAAAAGCCTTCGCACCAGTTGATCCAGCGGTTAGAAGGGTTTTGCCCACGACTGGAATGGTAAGACCTGGTGCAGCAGCACTTGTGGAAATTCCGACATCTGCTCCTCTGCTCACAAAAGCATTGGCCTTAATAAACGCAACAAGGCTCTTTATTTCCTTGGCATGATCGTAGATTTTCTTAGCAACCTTTCCAGCGCTGGCCATCTCCAAAAATGTGTTATCTTTTACTGCCACAACTTTTCCGTCAATGGAATCTGTGCACGTCTCCATGTCGAAATATTCATCTGCTTCTTGTAGGTATTTACCATACTCTCCCATTAGCGAGTAAAACCTATAGGTGGCGCAGAAGAGAGATGCTGTGGCTTCATTGACTTTCCTTCTATTGCGCTCATCAAGTTGGCTGTGTACCAAGTTCGCTGTTAATGACGCAGCTGATCCTGAAAGCGCACCGATAGTTCCTCCCACAGTGAGACCCAAACTAACTCCAGCTGTAACTGGAGATAATACAATACCAGCTACCGCGTCTCCGCTTGCGGCGACAGCCACGCCTCCGCCGACCGTTCCTGCAATACCAGCACCCTTTGTTACCTCTTCAAGGCTGCTGGCACATTCATCTATTACTTCAAAAGCTCTATGAATCCTGGTCTCGAACTCTTCAATACTGTATCCTATGATGACGTCAAGATAACTTTCAGCCATACTTTTCCAGAAGAGAGCCTTTTTAAGGGGGTTTGGCTGTCAGTGAAAGTTGGAAATCGTTCCATGCCACTTCTGGAACAAAATGCCATTTTTGGTGTTCACTGCATTCATCGAAGTTTTTCATTATGACATGAACTCTGGGAGGTGAGCTATCAATGACGTGATGACTCAAGTTGCTCCTAATGGCTCCTTTTTCGACTCGCCACATTTGGCTGAGGCCGTCGTGAGCTTTCCTCGCTTGACAGGTGCCTTCTTCCTTCTTACTTGCACCTTTGATGTCTGCAACAAGACCCAGTTTACTGACCAGCCGGCAACTGTCATCCCATCTCCACAACTGACTTGGTCGTCCGTCTGGTTTCACGATCTCAAGAATTCCGCTCTTGATGCCTTCACGAATATTAAGGACCAGTCTACCGCGGCTGTATTGGCTCACTATGTAGAAATATTTGGCATCATCTTCGTCACGTGACTGCATCTCGGTAAGTCAGTGGTTCTTCGATTATTTTCCACGGATCACTTGGAAGGAAAGAAGGAAGGAGGGATCAATCCCCTCAGAAGAGAACGTCAGATCGGGTTGCTACCTAAGAAAAAACAAGACACATCTCTGTTTGACTGGTTCATAGACTTGCTGTTGTCAACGTTCAAGCTCACCAGTGTAATATTTAAGGATATTACACGGCCGCGCGTAGACACTAATGTTATCTTTGAGTGTCGATAATTTCCCTCGAAAGCCAGGGAAGCGAACGGAAAGATAAACTCATATCCACATACGGGCCTGGGTCTGTAGTGGTTTTTTTTTTTACAGCATTTAGAGATATATTACATATCGAATTCAGCAACAATTTCCAAAAGCATTATAAGAGCACCACCGGATCATGCAGAAATCACTTGCATGTAAAATCTACTTGCAGAAAAGCCACCGCAACTTCCTAATTGAGCCACAGTATTCGCAACCTCTTCACTTTTCACTTTTAATAGTTTTTCAATGACATTTTAGCCATTAATTGTCGAAGATAGGCAACCTTCTCACAAAATTACCTTACTCAGTAACGATTCTTTTTTTAGATAGTCCCTGGTTTTGTTGTTGCATCGGAAATCGCCACGGGTAACATACCACCTGTATACAGTTGCTAACTGTCCCTCCGAACGACATAGTTGGGTCACTTTAAAGTCGAATTTTACTAGCATTAAAATGTGGCCTGTACTTATCATTAAGATTTAGAAAATCACAATTACAGTATTTTCCACTCTGCCTAACGCAGTGAAAAGCCGGATAAATCTTCCTAAAGGCCAGATTTCCAGAAAACAAGAAATTCGGAAAGGCCGAAACCAGAAACCCGAAACCAAAATGAATTGCAATTCGGTTAACTTCAATTCGTCATTGTGCTCGACGAAGCTCTCGAACCGTTACATGTATTTTAAAATCGGTCCAAATTACACATGTACTGATAGGGAACGGGTTTTATTTTTCCTTTTTTTTGTTGTTGCTATTTTTATTATCATCCAGGATCATTGCTATTTTTATTATCATCCAGATAATTTTACATCATGCACTGCATGATGTAAAATTATCCTTCCCGGTATGTCAAAATGTCGATTTGCTTTAGCGGTTGCGGTCTGTTCGTCTAAGGAGCCCCGTGTCCGAGAGAACAAGACTGAACTGGACGATAAAGCGGGAAAGCCTGACTAAAGGTTCAGTCAAATGGTAATTTTAAAGCCCAGTGTACGAATAACTAGGGAGAATCAGCCGGTTATTTCGCGATATGAACGGATAAGCCCATTTTCTGAGAATTTATAAAACTTCGTAGAGAAGGCAGTCAGTTACAATTAAGTGAGCTCATTCGTTTTTCCCACCCTGAAGCAAAAGAATGGAAAAAAATGTAATTGGAATTGCTGATACGGAGTAGAAGTTCATGAAACGATGATTAGAAGCATCCGATTTTTCGATCTCTGTTCCATTGCCGTTAGATGTCACAAAAAACAAAAAAAAGCTATAACTAACAAAGGCAATTCAACAAGTCTGGTTTTCGCGCATTCGCGAGTTGATTGCATTGGACTGTGGTAACTGTAATGGATTGAAGCAGAGTTCCTGTAAACATTTTGCTTTGGATATACTGGAGTTAGTGATTCCCCTCTAAATAAGTAGCGAAACTTGTTTTGGCCATTTCTCAGAAATCGCCTAAAATTGTTCTTGATTAACATGATGTATTATATATAATTTGTCAACATTTAGACTAAGGTCTAAAGAAATAGTGGTGACGCCGAAAATGTTTCAACAAGAGCAACAGGCTAAAGAGCGGTTTTATGAGTTTCGACGACTTTTTGAACCTGGTAAAAAGATCGAATATTTTTTATCATTGTCTTGTTTATTGCACGCAACTCGGAGTTGCTAAGCAATCAAACATCATGATTTGCTCGTGATACATTACGTAAAATGTTTCAAATAGAAATATTTTAATCTTGGTCAAACTTGGGACCCATTGAAAAGCGAGGTTGAGATGGGCCGCCAAGCAAACAAACATGCTATTCCAGTCAAAATGATGTCCTCAATAAATTGATATTTGGCTGTGACTTTACGTTTGCTCGACCTTGGCTTCTATCAACTCTCGCTTGAATGCTTTCTCTCTTTGTCAGCATCATGAGTTTGCGATTTCATTAAACCTGAGCGAATTCGAAAGGCATTTCGACAAAGTCAAGACCAAATGCACTCTGCTATGATTTATCTAACGCGTATGCCTTTATTATGCCCCCTATAGGGTCGAAATGGAGCAAATTTGATAAGTTCTTCAGAGCATTACTTGCACTCAGCGTGAGTTCAGCTCTTGATGCATTCAATGCAACTATGAATTATACACTGGATTATAACGATCCAAAATTTGCTTACCTGGCACATGTAATTCGACGCTGCACAAATTAATATAAAAAACCGAGGCCACAAGGAATTGTGTTAACATGATCAAGGTATCGTTATCTTTGAGTTTGACCTGGAAGGTTGCTTTGAAAGGAGCAAGGCGGTAACTCGATCTCAGTGGAACAAATGCCTCTCAAACGACCCTTGAACATTAGGTTA